GGGGGGGGGGTCAGGGCAAAGGGCCCCCCACCCCACCCCACTCTGCCCCCTCCCTCTCTCCCCAGGTGCCCGGCATGAAGGAGATCCTGCTGATGGGCTTCTACCAGCCCCACGAAGCCCTCAGCCGCTTCCTGGTGTCGGCGCAGCAGGAGTTCAAGATCCCCATCAGGTGGGCAGGAGACCTCCCGTTCCCCCTTCTTCCCCACACCACCCACTCCTCCCCGGGTACCCATGGTGTGGCACAGCCCCACTCGGCACCCCACCCCGGGGTGACAGCCCCCAGTGAGCACCCAGGCCTTGGGTAGACAGGTCCTGTCCCAGGCAGGATGGGCACAGCTGCCCTCCCACATTAATTCTGCCACATCTCCCTTGTCCTGGGCCCTGCCCTGGCTGGTTCCTGCTTCAAAGATGCCTCTCCAGCATAGCTCCAAGCCACCACTGCCTCCTTTCCCCAGCCAACGTCCACGTGAGCCCCATTGTTGCATGGCAGGATTATGTCTTTCCAGCCCCTGCCAGCCCTTCCCTGACCCCCTGCCAAGTGGTGCCACCAGACACCCGCTCCCCTAACCCCTCGCTTTTCTCTGCTTGCTTCACAGGTATCTCCAGGAGTATGCGGCGCTGGGCACGGGTGGTGGCATCTATCACTTCCGAGACCAGATCCTGTCGGGTGGTGCCGAGGCCTTCTTTGTCCTCAACGCAGACGTGTGCTCGGAGTTCCCCTTGCAGGAGATGCTGGAGTTTCGGCAGCAGCATGGGGATGCGCACAGCTTTGTCATTCTGGGTACCACAGTGAGTGGCAGTGCTAGGGAGCAAAGGAGCAGCGGTGCTCTGCCGCCGGCTTCTCTGGAAGCCAGCGGCTCCTGCAGCGGATGGGTCCCTGGGTGTGAGCTCTGGGTCTCGTGTGCTCTGTGTCTGCATACCCAGTGCTCCACCATTGCTAACACATCCTTTCTCCGCAGGCCAACAGGACACAGGCACTGAATTATGGCTGTATTGTGGCAAACACGGACACGCAGGAGGTACTGGAGGGCCTCGGGGAGCCGGGCACAGCATGGGCAGTGGGTGCTGCGCTGCCTGCGTGGGCGCATGTTCCCCGTGTGCCACAGAGGGTGTGACACCAGGTGTGGGGGCTGCACCCCGGGACTTACGACTTTTCCCTTGCCTCCAGGTCCAGCACTACGTGGAGAAGCCCAGCACATTTGTCAGTGAGATAATCAACTGTGGTATCTACCTGTTCACACCTGCCATCTTCCAGCACATCGGCGAGGTCTTCCAGAGGAACCAGCAGGAGCTAGTGCTGTGAGTGCTCCTCTCTGCCCTGTGTCCCTCCCACCCCACTGCTTCCCGGGGCTGCAGCGGCACACTCATCCTCCATTCTTTCTCTATCTTCTCTCCTCCTCTGCCATCACTCACTTGTTTCCTGGTCCCACACCAGCTGTCCTTACCTTGGGTAAGTCTCCCTCTGTGTCTGCACTGGCTGCTCTCTGGGCTGGATCGTCCCTAGCAATATTGCATGCTTTCCTCCCTGCTCCAGGCTGCTCTGCAAGGCTGTTCTATCCTCTCCTCCTCTCCTGGCCAGCTTGAGACTCCCCCTCCTCCCACCCCATCCTCATCCAGCTCCAAGGGGCTGAGCGAGCCTTTCACCTGGGAATGCTACGGTCATCCCTCCAGCTTTCTACACCAGCCAGCCTGTCAGCTGGTGTCTCTGCCACCACCCAGCTGTGGTTTCACTTCTGCCAAGTGAAAACCCAGGTGTGCAGGGCTGTGGAGCAGGAGCAGGATCCATCGTCTCTCATACACCTACCTGGATTGGGTGGGGCTCTTGCACCATCACCTTCTGGCGGAGAGCTTGTTTCAGCTGGCAGAGCCCCTTCCCTCTGGCTGCTCTGGGGCTCAGGGGAACCGGGCAGGCCTAGCCTGACAGCTGGGGCTGTCCCCACCTTTGGAGAGAAATGCATGGCTAGGAAGGAGTCCAGGAAGGAGTCCAGGATCACCGGAGCTCTCAGATTTGGGGAGGGTATCTGCTGGGGTCCCTGGCTGAGGCTACGACTAGGGGGAGTGTCTAATGGGCCTCTTGATTGCAGAGAGGAGAGCTCCAACGGTTGGCAGCGTGCAGAAGTGATCCGGCTAGAGCAGGACGTTTTCACGGCGCTGGCTGGGAGCGGCAAACTCTATGTCTACAAAACTGATGGGTTCTGGAGCCAGATCAAATCGGCTGGGTAAGAGCTGGGGCGCAGCAGAGTCATGGAACAGTCCGTACCAGAGCTGGGAGAGGAGGGTGCCCAGGCAGGGCCCTGGGGGTAGGTGCTAAATTCAGACCCTTCTCTACCCCCTGTAGTGCCAGAGAGGTAATAATAATCATTTGCCTTTTGTCCACCAGCTCTGCTATCTATGCCAGTCGCCTTTACCTGAACCAGTACAGCAAAAGCCACCCGGAGAGGCTGGCCCAGAACAAACCTGGAGGCCCTATTATCCGAGGTACCCCCCTGCCGCCTTGGGGGCTTCCCTGCATGGGACAGGGGAGAATTGGGGAGGCAGTGGGACACATGGGCATGACCTCCCCTGATCTGAGAGGCCAGTGCTCCCGTGGGCTGCCTCTCCTGAAGCAGCTGCCTTGTGTTGCAGGGAACGTCTACATCCACCCGACGGCCTCCATTGACAGCACTGCAGTGGTGAGTGCAGGCCTGGGGGGCCCTGCAGCAGGGCGATGCTCAGGGGTGCCGTTGTCCTCAACCTTATCACCTCCCTGTGTCCTCGCAGCTGGGCCCCAACGTCTCCATTGGGGAGGGGGTGACGGTGGGAGCTGGTGTGCGTGTGCGCGAGTCCATCGTCCTGCACGGTGCCTCACTCCACGTAAGTAGGGTTTGCCCGAAGGGTGGGGGTGTCAACCCCCACCCCTTGCAGGGAGGCAGCAGCAGCCTTCATCCCCCTCTCCTTCATCCCAGGACCACACCTGTGTCCTCAATACCATCGTGGGCTGGGATAGCACCATTGGGCGCTGGGCCCGGGTTGAAGGAACGCCCAGTGACCCCAACCCCAACGACCCCTATGCTAAGATTGACAGCGAGACCCTTTTCCGGGACGGGCGCCTCACGCCATCCATCACAATCCTGGGTATGTCCCACTCGCTCCCAGCTGCCCCAGCCCAGTGCAGTGGGGCAGAGTCTCTCCCCTCCAGCTAACCCACTCGCACTCTCCCTGCAGGCTGCAGCGTCACCATCCCCGCTGAGGTCGTTATTCTCAACTCCATCGTCCTTCCTCACAAGGAACTGAGCCGCAGCTACAAGAACCAGATTATCCTGTGAGTCAGCTGCTCGCTGGGTTGGGGGGGGTGTGCACTGCCAGCCCCCCTCTCCCTGCTGTGCCCCACAGCAAGAGCCCGTGCTGGTGCTTCACCTCCTGGGAGGTTCCCAGCACCTCCAGAAGGGTCAGTGCAGGCCAGGAGCCCTGCAAGTGCCTGATTCCTACTGCAGACAGACATTAAAGCTGGTGAGCATCAGCTTTGCGTGCTGCTTCTCTTGCAGCCCAGGGAACCAGCCCTGGGGCAGGGTGAAGGCTTTGGGGACAGCATGTGGCCCTGGCACAAGGCTGCATGCCTGTGCAGGGAGCCCTGGGCTGAGGCTGTTGCTGCCTGCAACATCTCAGGTCCTCAACTTTTGAGTGTTTCTCCACCAAAGGGCACTACCACCACAGTCTTGCCACCCCCTCACCAGGCTCTCCCTGCTCTGCCAAAGTTGCTGTCTGCAACTCCCTGGAAGGTCTTGGCCCATCTCAGAGGCTGGGGAGCTTTGAACGTGCTTGCCCTGTGTAGGCAACCCGCCCTGCAGGAGCAGGTTGTGAGGATCCCAATTTCAACAGCGTGATTGCAACAGCCTGAGCTGGGCTCCCGCCTACCGTTGGGAAAACAGCAGCACTGGGCTGTCCTAAGGGCACTGGCACAAAAGGTCTGGGTTGGACAGGGAGGCTGCTGGCCCCACGGGGAGCTGCAAAAGCACCCTTTCCCCCAGCTCCACCTCCGCCCCCAAGGGCTCGATATGAGCCAGGAGAGCTGCCAGCCCTGCTGAGCCCGCTCCGGTCAGGCTGAGACCTGCGCAGGCTGCTTAGGCAGGGCTCGAGGTGATGGCAGCAGCAGGTCCCTGCCACCCCGGTGGGCCAACAGCCTCCTCCGCGCCACCATGGGTGTAGCTGGGGGAGGGGGGGCTCACTGCATGTCTCCCCTCGCACCAGCCACATCCACGGGGCGGCACAGCAATCAACTTACATGTGTACGTGTGGCAGAGATCCACCGCCTCGCTCTATCTCAAAAAAACCTGTTTTTGTCGAAGGCAGCTCCCTGCTGGTCCTGGCACGGTCTGTCTATGGTAACCAACACCACCCTTTATCCACTTACCTCCCTGTCTTCTCCTCTGGTTTTGGAGCTCTGTGCTAAAAGCCCTGCGCTCCCCCAAGAGCCCCATCATGCCTCTCACCTTCAGTGAGGCATTGCATTAGGGATTCTCCATCCATCCAGTACCACCCCAGCTCGATGGATTTGCAGTAAATCCTTGCTCCCGGCCCTGTGCCGTCCTGTGCCAGTTCTCCTGTGGTCCTGGGCGGGGATTAGCTGTTCCCTGGCTTTAAGCACATTAAACTCCTTCAGTTTTGCCTCTGCCTTGGATGTGCTCATTTCCGTGCCCACTGGTGAACACCCCTGCGCTGGGGGAAACTGAGCCAGAGTACTTGCTTTCAGGATCGTACATCAATTTTTTTTCTCTTGTCCCACATCTGGCCTGGCTTTTAGTACAGACAAAGGTTTCTCAGCTGCCGGACGTGGCGGTTGTCAGCCCTGTTGTGTAATGCCCCTTTTCCCCAAGCTCCCAGGCGGCTGTCCCTTGTGCAGAGTTATCTGAGGGACAAGCCCTATCCTGGGTTCTTTGCTCCATTACAGCCTCATCCAGCTCCCCCCCCCCTCTTGGAGGGAAGAGGGCTGTGCATCCCAGCACGGCTTGGGCTTTGCAGCTCCTGCACCCGGGCTGGAGGAGAGGAAGGAGTTAAAGGGGCCTCCGCTGAGGTGCCAGGAAGTCTGGAAATGCTTTAAGGTTGTCCTGCCCTGAGCTGAAGCAGCTCCGATTACTTGAGGCCAACATCTGGGCTGAAAGAGGGGCCCTCCCGCATCCTGGGCTCCAGGGCAGGGAGAGGAGAGCTACAGCTGGAGCGGGAGGGAGCTCTGCCTGCCCTCTCTGCCCAAAGGCAGGGTGTTTGGGGAGCTCTGCTCACCCTAGCTGCCACTACAGCTCTTATCTGCTGCCCAGGCCAGGCTTCCACCACACCAGTGAGCCCCAAACCCTGGCAGCAAGCGGGGAGGGACAGACAGCAGCCACAGCCATGCTTTGTTTTGCTGCAAACGCATTTAATACAAACCAAGCCCTAGGTACAGCGCTGGGGCGACGTCCCCGCCACCGCAGCTGGGCACAGCCAGCCCCGCTCCCCAGTCCCTGGGGAAGCGGAGCAGGGCTTGGGGAGCTCGGGCAGCCCCAGCAGCCCCCTGCCTGGTCCTGCAGGCTTCGCTCCTCCTCCGGTGCCAGCTCTGGGTCCCCAGGGAGCCGCTGCCGTAGGCTACACCGGGGGAGGGGACAAC